CTGTTCCCATGGCCATAATTTTCCTGGCAGGAAGCGGTACCTGTGGCTCGGCACAGCCTGACTCTCCCCTCTGGGGGAGGCTGCCCAGCTTGGTGCTGATGGTGTCATGGACGTACTGGGCAAAGCCAGGGCTGAAGGACGTGGACAGGAGGGTGAGGACCTGGAGGAACACGGCACGGACGAGGGGGCAGCGCTGGGCAGGGCTGAGCAGCCAGCCCCGTGCCTCCAGCTGCAGAGCCACAGGGTGCAGCGCCTCGACTGACAGCCTGCGTGGAGACACAGCCTTACCATGGGGCACAGTGCTGAGACTGGCACCCTTCTGTGGCCAAAAGGCTGTGTTTGGCACAGAGTGACCCGAGCTGGAGAGACAGAATGGCAACACCCACCTCCCAGTGCCTGTAGCAGAGGCCAGCAGTGCCCGCATCTGCAGCAGGTGCCCATGGACAGTGTTGTGCGAGCGGATCTGTCCGGGTGCTGCAGGGAGCTGCTGGGCCAGCTGCAGGAGCAGCCTGCAGCGCTGGGGAGGGGGGACAACAGGCACCAGAGCCTTGGCAGCCATCGCTCGTACGGCATAGATGGGGCTCTCTGCCAACCCCAGCAGTGGCTCCAGGAAGGGAGCAGAGGGACTGTGGAGCAAAAAGGGTACCACGTGGTGATGTTCTGGCTGGAGTAAAAACTCACTAGAGCCAGGGCCAGCCTTGGCACCATAGGAGCAGCCCTTCCCACTGCAGGAGCCCTTGGCTAAGGCACAGGCATCCCCGCTGCCCCCATACCTGCTGGGACTGTCAGCGCCAGGCTGCAGCTGGGCCAAGAGGGTGAGGATCGCGTGGAGTGCAGGGTGCAGGCGGGGCCCCCCTGATGTGGGTGCTGTGGCCACCTTGAGCTCTCCGAGCAGCACAGCCCCCAGCTTTGGGTGCTGCCCAAGGAAGGCATGCAGGCTCAGCCCTTCTGATGGGCAGCCATCCCTGTGGCTCCATGGCTGTCCCAGCAGCCGGGACGTGAGGGCACCTGCAGGGACAGAGAAGGTAGTGTAAGGTCCCATCCAACCCTGCCAAGCCCCTGCACTTCACCCCACACAGGCTCCAAACCCCAGGGGCTGTGGGATCTCTGTACTCACTGAAGAGCTGGATGGCTGCGTTCCTCATGGCCCAGCAAGGTGAGCCCAGGCCCTGCAGTGCCAGGGCCATCATGGGGGTGGCATGGCACAGCACTGCCCCGCCCAGCCCTGCCCCACGGACCAGCGTCTGCAGCACGTGGAGGGCACACACCTGGGGAGAGCACACGGGGCTCAGTGGCACCATGTCAGGACAGGGCTCGTGCTACCATGCCAAGGGAAGAGGGTGGGAAAAGACAGGGGAGCCAAGAGGCCATCGGCTCCCAGGCTGCTGGGCTGGACAGCACAACCAGGCTCTGGGTTTTTGCTCACTCTGAGTTCTCACAGTCTCACACTGGGTAACTGCCACAGATCACCCTGTTCCCAAGGGGGCTCCAGCAGCCAGGAGCTCCTCCAGGTGCACCACACTCACCTGCGGGAGATCAAGAGTCTGGTCCCAGTCCTGTGGCAGTGCTGTGGTGGCCAAGGTCAGCAGTGTCTGGATGCAGTGGGTCAGGAGTGGCCGTGCCTGCACTGGGGCCTCCCCACTGACAATGCAGAGGAAGAGCATGGGGAAGCCGGCAGCACGACGCGTGATCGAGCTGCTCCGGGGCCCACTCAGCGCTTCCAAGCCCTGACAGAGAAACAAAATCCACCTGCAATGTGCCTGGAAATTCTGTGCTTTGTCACTTGGAATCTGCAACTGCCCTGCCAGGAGGGCATCAGCTGCACTAGCCCTGCACCAGTATCTCAGCTGCCGGAGGGTGCTTGCCTCAGGGAGTGGGGACACTGAGAAACAACCCTGGTGCTCCCTGGGGCGCATGGGAAACAAGGGGCACAATGAGTAGTGTACCTGCTCCAGCACAGCCCGTGGGATGGCCTGCAGCTCCGGATCTGGGTGGTTCAGCAGAGCAGCACAGAATTTGGTGAAGCCCATGCTGCAGCCCTCCACTGCTCCCTGGGCAGAGCAGTGTCAGGCCCAGCACCCCAAAGGCTGCACCCACCAGCCCTCCATGGCCCCAGAAAACTCATTGCAAAGGGGAAGATCAAGTGAGAAGACATGATGGTGTGGGGATGTGACAGGGCCTGGCACTGGGATCCCAGCCAGGGGACTTCCAGCCATCCCCACGTCCTGCCCCAGAGCAGACCCTGCCCCACTGCACCCCTCCACCCCAGTATGCCAGGGCAGGGACAGGGCTGGGGGGATGGCTAAGGGCTCAGATACACTCTTACCCAGTGCCGGCACCGCAGCAGGATTTCCTGGAACACTCTGGTGGCTATCTGCAGGGTGGGGAGTGGCAGGAGGAGCCCCAATTCAGCAGACAGTGCTGGGGATAGCAGCAGCTCAGCCAGGCCCCCCAGGAGCAGCCCAATCTCCTGGGAAGAAGAGGAAGGTCAGCCAGACTGGCAGGGAGGACGAGAAGCTGGGATGGGTGGCAGCAGGACCTCAAGTCAGGCAGCCCGGCTCTGCCACAGCAGGGGACTATCAGTGTCTGGGAAGGAGCTGGGTTCTGTAAGGGCAGGCAGGGAGGGGGCTGCTTTTGGGGAGCCTGGTAGTTGCATCCTTTCTGGAAGGAGCTGAGGACATGTGTTAGAGCACTGAAGTAAGGACAGAAATTCCCAGAAAGGATGAATGACCCAAGGGGAGGTGAAGCAGCAGCTGGGATGGGCTGGATGATGGGTGCCATGCTGGGCTGCCCCTCTCCCAGTGCCATGAGGAGGGGTGTCACCTTCACTGACACCCAGCAGCACGTCAGGATCAGGTTGTGCTCCTCTGACAGCAGGACTGAATCACCCTCCTCTTCCTCTCGCCCCTGGCCCTTCCCCAGCATGATGAGGGAGCCAATGGCATTCCCCATCTCTGCAAATGATGGGGCAGCAGCTGCAAAAGGAAAAGCCAGGTCTGAGCAGGGTGGTGTGGCACAGTGGGATAGGGATGCAGCTTTGGAGAACCTGCAGTCCCCTGTCAGAATGCAGACAAACGGCAATGGCTCCTGCCCTGCCTTGTGTCCCACTCAGGACTGCAGCTACATTTTGCCCACTGCTCTTTCCAAGCCATCGCTGTAAGGGCTCTGCCAGCCCCTCCTGTCTCAACTGTTTTCATCTGGCAGGTGCCTCACTACTTCTGGAAGGCTTTTGCCTCTAGTGTTCCTGTTCTCCCATGGAGTTGAGAAGGGAACCCAAAGCCAGGCACCCCACCATGGTCCCCTGCTAGAGGCACTGAGCCCAAAGCAAGTGCATTCCCCTAGAGCTGGAGGACTGCTGGGCCAGGAATGACTGTGATGGAGCTGTCAGTGGTTCCCAGGGCTGGTTCTGCCCCCCTGGGGACACACTTACCTTGTTCATCAGCACCGGGGCCTTGCTGGCTCTGCAGAGCACCCAGGAGCAGGGAGGTAATGTCTCTCACTGTGGTCACAAGGCAGGTGAGGAACTCCTGCCAGCTCTGCACCAACTCTGCTGCCTGCATGGAGACGGCCACCTCCGGCACCTGGAGCAGGCACCTGCGCAGGGCTGCGATGGCTCCTGCAGAACACCCACCTCTGCTCACTGTGGTGTCAGCACAGCCCCGGCTCTCCTGCCTGAGACCATGGCTGATGTGGCTCAGGGGCAGGGGAGTGAACAGGGCCCTGGGTAACACAGCAACAGGCTGTGGCCCGAGTCCTGCCATGATTCTGGCCTGCTCCAGTTCCCAGGCAGCTGCTGCAGGAACTGCTCTCTGCCCTGCCCTGCCGTACCATGCATTGGTGTGGTGGCTGCTGCCCGCAGCAGGTCCTGGCACGCCACCTTGTACTGGGCCTGTAGCACGTGGAGAAGGTGCTGGGCGAAGCACAGCCCTCGGCTGGGCACTGTCAGAGCTGCCTCAGCCTCCAGGGACAGGCTCTTCATTGTGCCACTGTCTGACCTGGGGCAACAGGCAGATCCCTCTGTGAGCACCAGGGAACTTCCTGCCCATCTTGTGCTACACAGCTCCTTCCTCCCCTGGTGCAGACTCCTCAACCCTCCCCAGCTTCCCACTGCAAGGCTATTGCAAACCCCATCTCTGACCACAGACCGGTGAGGCACCAGTGCTGCCAACACACTCTTGGAGGGTCCTGTGCCACCGCAAGGAAAGGGAGGGGGATGCCAGGAGCTCTTACTTCTGCAGGATGGTCTTCATCAGTACAGCTCCAGCTTCAGCCTCCTGCACTCGGGGGCTCCCCAGGGTGTCCTGGGCCAACTGGAAGAGAGCCAGGGCAATAGGCTCGGGGAATGTGGCAGGGAAGTAGCGGACAAGCAGCTCCGAGGCCAAGTCTCTGATCTGCCAGGACAGAGAAGACATGGGGAAAAGCAGGACACGGGAAAATGGGAAGCATGGTGGGCTTCCCTGCTGAGCCTGCTTGGGGCCAAAGCAGGCATCTTTATGACCTCCCCTTGGCTTTACAAAGCTCACCTCGTTAGTGCTGTCCTGCAGGCAGCTCAGCAGTGCCAACAAATTGGGCTGGGAGAAGAAGTCCCAGCAGCCGCTCTGCCTGGCATAGCTCAGCAGTGTGGCCATGGTCCCTGTGATGGGGACACGGGGCGGTGGGATGGGATTGGTTGAGTATCCCCATAGCTGTGGGTGATACTCCAGGTAGCTTGCCTGTACTCACGTGGGGGCTGGCCTTTCTTCCTGTCAGGGCTCCAGGTGTCTGTGCAGGTCTCCAAAACAGCTGCCAGAAGGAGCAGAGCTGTCTTCTTCCTCTGGTAGTTGGAGCCTGGGCTGAGTGAGGTGATGCTGAGCTGCAGCAGCCATTCCACAAAGCCTGTGGGCAGACAGCACGGCAGCAAGGGATGCCGAGCACACGAGAATCTCCCAGGGCTGTGGTGAAGGTGCTGGGTGGCCGCCTCACCTACTGCCAGGGTGAGCTGCTCAGCTCCCCCAGCCAGCCCGGACCGTTGCGGTGCCTTCCCCCGCAGCTGGGCCAGCGAGCTGTCCCGCAGCCGGACCAGCGCCTTCCTCACCGCTGCCTGCAGCAGCTGCCGGAACGAGGAGGAGTCACAGTTGAGGTTGAGGGGCAGGAACTCCTGCAGCAGCTGCATCTCGGTGCCCGAGAGGGGCTGGTTGGTGTTGGGGCTGCAGCAGAGCAGACCCAGTGCTGCCAGCCGAACGCCCTCCTCGTGGGTGCCCAGGCAGCGGGAGAGCCTCTCCAGCGCCTCATCCCCCAGCGGCAGGGCCCCTGCCACACTCTTCTGTGCCTTCAGCAGTGACACCCAAGCCCGGAGTGACATCGTGTCCTGGCCACCAAACTGGGCTGCTAGCAGTGCCTGGGTGGCCGGGAGCTGCCGCAGGGTCCAGGTAAGGAGGTGGTTGGCAGTGTTGCTCTGTAGGATGGGCAGGGGAGAGCAGAGGGCCTGGGAGAGCAGGGGGAGCCAGCGCTGTGCCCACTGCTCTGCCAGGGCCACCTCTGTGCCCTGCTGCCCACCCCACCACTCACTGCACTGCTGCTGCACCAGGACCTTGTAGACCTCAGCAGCAGCAGGACACAGGTGGTTGGTGGAGAGGCAGCTCAGGAGATGCTGTGGCAGGTCTGGGTAGGCATCCAGCACCTGGGGGAAAGGCAGGAGACCCTCATCACCCTGTCTGAAAGCTGCATTTGGGGGAAAGACAGATGGGTACAGGCGACACTGCAGTCATTGCTAGCACTGAGCATCTCTGGTACCTCAAAGCTGCTTTTGGTGGGCACTGACAGGCAAAGCTTCCCTTCCCACTGGCACTCCTCAGGGATGCACTGCTGAAGCCCACTACCCCAGGGATGTTAAAATAGCCCCTCTGGGTGGGAAGGCTCCCTACCCACACAGCTGAGCTGGGTAGAAGGTGACAGGCAGTGGACAGAGGCTGTGCCACCACAGCAGCAGAGCCAGCTGACACCAAGACTCTCCATACCCCCGCCTTCCCTACCTGCTGGCTGCCCATGTAGGGGACGATGGTACACAGGGGCACATATCTTGCTTTGATCTGCCATGGCATTGAGACCACCCTATGCAGCATCTGTTGGTAGAGGGGTCTCTCCTGGTCCTGGAAGTGCTGGCACTCCAGGTGGTAGATCTCCAGGAGCAATCGGAAGGAGCTGTGGATGAACTCAGACACACCCTCCACCTGTGCGAGAAGGACAGCAAACAGAAGGGTTAGGGTGAGCTCCCTCTCATGTCTTGCTGTCCCGTGGCAGGTGAAGCACCAGGACATGGCCCTTTAGAGCCTGTGTGTGACAAACGCCACAACCTCAGCAGTGTGACTGCCCCTGCCCTGGTAGCTGCAGGCAAGGGAGTGTATTTGGCTGATGGAGCTGAAGCAGGCAGGGATGTGTTATGGGCTGGGGACAGCAGCTGAGGCAGGTGAAGGAAGAGCTGTTCCTGGCTGACACACTACAGCCCTTTGGCACTGTGTCCTTACCGGGGTCTCTGCATTGTTCCACAGCAGCTGGCTGACCTCCTGGAGGAGCTTGGTGTCCTGGGCCAGGATGTGGGTCCCTGTCAGGTGCCAGAGAGCAGCCAGGCCCTCCCGCAGGCGCTGCAGCCACAGTGCACAGGCTGCCAAAACAGAGAGCTCTGCTGCAGCCTTCACTCCAGACTCACCTGCACCAGATCCAGCACAGGCTGTGGACTTAAAGACCCCCTGTGCAGGGGCAGCAGTTCTCCCTTTAGGTACACAAGACCCCAGGAAGGCAAGTGTCCATTGGGCTGGAACAGAAATTAATAGCAGTTTCCAAAACAGCTACCAAGAGCCAGAAGGGGAGAAGATGAAGCACATGGGGACTCCGTGCATCACAAGCACAGTGAATCTTTCAAACCTCCCCACCATGGCAGGGTCACCAAATCCTACCTTGGAAGCAGTAGTAGTGGCAGTCCTTCTGCTCCCTGATCAGGGCACACACAGCAGGAAAGACCATGTCCAGCAGCAGGCAGGCCTGCAGGGGCACAGTGGCTCAGGGACTGGGCAGGCAAAGGATTTCCAGGGAGAAAACCCTGCTGTGAGACGGGCAAGGAGAGCACTGCCTGGTTCTCCTGCTCTTACAGAGCTCACCTCTGCTCCCTGCCTGGAAGTCCTCAGCTTGTGAGGACTTGGGACAGGCTAGAGATGGGCAGAGCTGAGGCTGTGCTCTGCAGGTTCATGCCATGGGAACACAGGGTGAACACTGCTTTGCTTGTGTAGGGGCTTTTGGCACCACTTTGTTTCCCAGCCCCCCCACAAAGAGAAATCCCTGCTTGGATGTCTTTGGAAAAAGCAGGCTCCTTGGCTAACTGGCTGTGCTCAGCAGGATTCATGGAGCTGCAGAGGGGTGCAGCCTGGCTTCATCCCACATGGATCCACAGGCACCACAGGCAGCTGCCAGTTCTCCCCAAGGGCTCCCTCAAGCCCTGTCCACTGGGTTTGAGCTCTCCTACCTTGTGGGGGAAGCCCTCCAGTTGGCAGCTGAGGATGTCCATCTTGCAGCACGTCAGCAAACCTCTGGTGAGAACCAGCTTCTCCAGCCCATCTGGTTCCAGGACAGGGGGCACTTCCACCACCAGCTCCCCAAACTTCAGCTCCCCAGTGCCTGCTGGAAAATGGCTGCACTGGATGGAAGGAAGGTGGCAAACCCAAATGCTGCTCTGAGAGCAACTGCAATGGCTCATTCCAGAGCGTCCATGAGAGGTAGCCAGACAGCTGGAGCTCCCAGACCCCGAGAGACAGGCACAGCAGCAGAGTCCAGCTTGGCACCAGCCTCTGTCCCCTCACACCCAAAGACCCTTTGCCAGAGGCTGTCCCCAGCTCAGGATGGAGCACGCACCTTGGCTGGGGAGCTGGAACAGGGTCAGCACAGCACTGGCCCCATACTGGGGCTGCGGGGCCGTGTTCACCAACATGCTCAGGGCTGTGCCTGCCAGCAGCCTCGTGTCCTTGTTCAGGGCCTGGACTCGTAGGGAGGCAAAGGCACAACTCAAAACACCATTTAAACCCCAACCACATTTAACTGCCCCTGCAAGCAGCTACATGGGGTCTCACAGACATGCCACACACTGGGCTGTCTCTGCAGGCTTGCCTTGGGGAATGGGGAAAGCACCCAGGAAGGACAGCACTGCTCTGCTCCTTGGGACAGGCAGCTCCATCCTTCCCAGGGACGCACCTTCCCCCAAACCACCTCCAGCAGCAGTCCCAAGAGGCTCTGCAGGGTCTCACTCTTTCCTGTTGTGCTCCACACTAGGGGAGCCACGTCCTTTGGCAGTGCCTGGAAGACCTGGAGGCAGGCCTGGAGGAGCAGGAAGTGCCACAGGGATAATCAGTATTCCTTACCTCTGGAAAAGCAGCAATGCCTCGGGAACGGCCGTTCAAAGCAGGTCGATGCGTTACATCCCTCTGGACATTGCTGCTGCTGCCCTATACCTTGCAGGTACTGATCCTTCCCCTGCTCCCCAGTCTGGCTCCTACCTTGATGACCAGGTAGCCCCACGTGCTGCCAGGCGCGGGCTGGCCCTGCAGCACCCAGCGCAGGGTGGTGGCCAGGCGCTGCAGCAGCGAGGCCAGGTTCTGCCGCCAGTGCTGCCGGCCCAGGCTGCTCTCCTCCAAGAACATGGACACTGTGGGCAGGGGAACAGCATCAGCCCCTGGCCCTCCTGCAGCCAGCCCTGCTCCCATTTCAGCCAAGGGCTGCGCTGTTGGTAAATGAGGTAAGAACAGGGCTGGGATGCAGGGGATGCTTTGGCTTGTCTGGTTTCCAGCTGTGGGTGGGCAGAGCTGGATGCTGCTGGGATCTCTGTAGAGATCATATGGATCTGGCTGATCCCCGCTCCCCTCCCATGAGCACAGAGGACCCAGTTTGGGTTGGCAGGAAGTGTTCTGTGCACTGGTGGTGTGAGCTGGGAGAAAACCCCAGAAGGTAAGGAACAACTCACCTGACTGAAGGTCTCCAGGAGAGAGCACCTGTAAGGACAGAAGGATACTTTATCCTGTGTAACAAAATGCTGGGGCTCGGTGCCTTGGGCAGGAGGGTTCTGCTAGTGCCAGAAGCTGCCCCAGGGATGAGCAAAGGGCTGGTGTGATAGGCAGACATGTGTTGCCAGCTGCAAGCAAGGGCAAGTCCCCAGAATAATGGGAACTGAAGTGAAGGACTGGAGACAGCCCAAAACAGGAGGTCCCTGGGGCACATGGTCTCCAGCCAAGTCCTCATGAAAGCCAGTGCCACTGCTTCTCTCACCTCTCCCTGCAGTGCCAGGCCAGCCAGCAGCGTGTTCACCTCCTGGGCCAACAGGCCTTCCTTCCCCACTGCCAGCTGGGTCACCATCTGCCAAGAGATACCCCAAGTCAGTTGCTCTGTCCAGAGCCCTGGGAGACACCAGCTACCAAGAGCTATCAGGGGAGCCTGTGGCACCTCTGAGCCCCTTTGCTGGTAAGGATGCCAGAAAGCTCCAGAGCTGTGCCAGGAGTGGGCAAAGCCAGCCCAGCTGATTGCCTTACAGACCTGTTCCAGTTTCTGGAAGGAGCTGGAGCTACTGGTTGCCTCCATCTGGAAAGCCAGGACACAGCGGAGCAGGGGTCGTGCCTCTGCCTCACCCAGTGCCTGAAGACCCTCGCTCAGCACCCGTGTCAGCTGGAGGGCCTCCTCCAGGTGCTTCTCTTTGCATCTCTTGGCAGTACTCCTGGAACAGGACAAGGACAGGGGTGAGGATACCCTGGCTCGGTGAAGTTTTTAGTGGGGGAATACCCCGACTCAGTGGAATCTGGGATTGGGGTGCCCCAGTTTGCGATGCTCCTCTCTCCCAGCTGCACCGAGCATTGCACTGGAGCGAGGACGGAGGGACGGCGGCGGTGGGGGGGAGCGGAGCTGCACGAAATCCTCAAAGCTCAGCGCATGCAAGCCCTTGGTGGGGCAGAAGGGCTCAAAAATCCTAAAACCTGCGGGCCTGATGTTGCTGAGTGTGCTAGAAGGGCACCTGAGCGTGGCTCGAACCCCTTGCTGGGTATCGATCTTCTCTCGTTCCCTCCCTTCCTCCCTCCCGACCCGCGCCCGGGAGATGCACGGACGCTCCACACCGGGGGTTTCCCGACGCACCCGCCACCGGGGAGATACCGGGAGCTCCTCCCTGGGGCCCGCCCTCTTACCCAGCGAAGTGCCGCAGGCAGCGCAGGCAGGAGAGCACTGTGGGGGCGAGGTCCCGTGTGCCGTAGAAGGCGGCGCAGGCCCTCGCCTCCCGTTCGGCGCCCATGGCGGCAGCACCACAGAGCTGGGCCCGCTGCGCCCCGCAGCGCCCCCTGGCGGCGCCCCGGCCCAGCACCGCCCACAGCGGCGGCGCCCGGGAGCGCTGGGCAGGACCCCGGACTGCGGGCCTCCCTCCCTTCATCCCGCCGGCACCGCGGGCCTCCCTCCCTTCATCCCGCCGGGACCGCGGGCCTCCCTCCCTTCATCCCGCCGGGACCGCGGGCCTCCCTCCCTTCATCCCGCCGGGACCGCGGGCCTCCCTCCCTTCATCCCGCCGGCACCGCGGGCCTCCCTCCCTTCATCCCGCCGGCACCGCGGGCCTCCCTCCCTTCATCCCGCCGGCACCGCGGGCCTCCCTCCCTTCATCCCGCCGGGAATGGGAGCCTTCCTTCAACCCGGCCAGGGACCCGTGCTGGCTGTAAGGCAGGGGTTAAAAAGCATCATCATCCCAAACTGTTTCCGTAGTCGGGGAAAAGCGAGATCACCCAGAACTTCTGAAAACCGGATGCTGCCTGCCGAGCACAGAGGGATTTGTACAGCATCTCCGAAAGAGATCTCCGAAATGCCAACTGGAATGCTTCAGGGTGAAGCAGTTGTCAGGTTGCATCGTGGTTCATTGTGGAAGAGGAGGTTTGGTACCCCACAGTCCTGCTACACCACGAACACCATCTCTGAGAGTCAGCACCACTATTGGTAGCATCATTACTAGTTGTATCACCAATAATGCTACGACCCAGTGGAGAGACTCCACTTCTTCCTATGGTATGAAATGGCTTTTGGGGAGAGAGACAGATTTAGTGTAATTATAGTCAAACCAAAATGAATTTATTACAGTTCTTATTGTTAGTTGGCACAGGGTTGAACAATTTTAATAGGCACAATTTTAAGATCATCTTTAAAGGTCCCTTTCAATCCAAACCATTCAATGATTTTACAGTTTCTGTTTTTTTTATTAAACATAGTTTTAACACCTGACTAGCACATCCCACTGAATTTCAGCTACACAGAAAATGCTTCTTGGTTTTGATCTTGAAGGATTGTTTTTAGCCTGGATTGTTTCTCGCTGTGGCTCTGGAGCAAGTGATGGGCATCCACTGCTTGGATGAGTCATGGCACGGGAAGCCCAGGAAAACACAGCTGGAATGCACCAGTGGCTGCACTGGGTGGCCAGGAGGATGCTGAGATATGGATCCCAGGCTGAGCACTTCCCTTGGGGATGGAAATCCCTCAGACTGTAGTTTTTGGCAACATTTGTCAGCAGCCTCCATCTTTGTTCTGCTTTAGAAATCAGCCTGGAAGCCCAAATCCAGCCAGGGTCCAGGTTTTCCCTGACTGCTGTCAATATCAATGAGTGAAAGAGCCCAGGATTTGTTTCAGGTAAGGCAGAGGAGTACAGGAGGATGTGTACATCCCTCAGATCTGATCCTCCATCACAACCACCCCACACAGGTGATAGGGAGTGGGGAGAAGCACTGCCAAACAAGAGCTCCCACAGGTGCCAGCACACAGGCAGGGGCAAGGCAGAGGAGGGTGCTGCCATGCTGCCAGTGTTCCTGTTCCCATCACCTTGTGCTGCCTGCAGAAGGGAGGGGCAGAGGAGGGAAAGGGTTGTTTTTTTTTTTCTTGTTTCACCATAGGAAGGATTTTCAAACCCTATAAATTCACTTTTGACAAGTGAACAGCTAAAGCAGATTAACCTTTTTGCTAATCTTCTATAATGGCTTTGGAATCTCCTTAACCAATAAGAAAATGATAAGAGCCTGTTTCTTTTCTTTTTATCTATATCTATATTGTCCTCTCTTGTCTGCATGTTTTTTCTTTCTTTTATTTTCCTTTCCTTTTCTAATATGAAATAGCCCAGTGATCCTATCTCTCAGAGGCTCAGTAAACAGAACATCAGAAATCCCTTTCCTTTATTCCTCTCTGGTAACAGGGTGCAGAGAAGTGTCTGCCAATTGGGATTTGATTACCAGCAGCTATCAAAAGTCCCTTTGTACAATCTGGGTCCTAAATCCCATAATTCTTTGATAAAAGAAGTATTACCAGTCCATTTTCTGTAGTGAAAGGTATGGGAGGAATGAAAGAAAGCAATCAGCAGAGATCCTAATAAGCTAAGTGCATGTGTGGTGGGAAGGGAGGGCTGGGACAGGATGTCCAGGGAAGGGTGTCCTTTGTTGAGGATGGGGAAGGAGAATTAATCTGCTTCAGGCAAATGAACAGAACTCAGATCCTGCACCTGCCCATGGCACGTCCCAGCTCACCAGCCCTATGGTCCCTCTGGACCAGCACAGTGTGGGGAGCAGAACTTGGCCCCACATCCACCATTGTGTCAGTGTTTGGGTTCATATATAAAAGCTGGGAGCAGTTTTCAGTGATCTCTGGAATTAAGGCATCCCCAGTGCCTCTCTGGAGCACTGACACCTTGGCAGGGCAGCAGTGAACATGTCCAGACTGTACAGCTAAGAGGTGTCTTTGTCTCAAAAGGTAAAAAGGTTCACAGAGCTCGGTTATAAACCATGTTACAACATTGGAAAAGCTGAAGGAGAGGCAGATAAAGGGATGGAAGGAAAAATAGCAGTTTGGTTTTAAGTAAGTCACAAGTAGAATGGCTATGGAGCATCTCTTCCCAGCACTGAGGGACCCGCAGGTGAGGAAAGGCAGGCAGTGAGCAGGGACAAGGAGAGAAGAAGGGGGCTGAGAGGGGGCTCTCCTGAGGACTGGCTGTGAGTTTTACAGAATGCTGGAGGCATTGCTGGGCTGTCCAGCATGTGGATCTTTGGTGTGCAGTGGTTTCACAGCACCCACCTGTGTGTGTCCTTGGTGTACTGTGAGTGGGGCTGGAATCTTCACTCCCCTGCAAGGAAACACCAGGTGTGAGAGTGTTCCCTACATCAGCTCCTGAGACCTTGCTACTCACCTTGGCTTAAACTGCACTGAGGGCAAGAGAACTTTGGTTTAAACTTTGCTAAGCAACCTGATCTCAACCACACCTTCTCTATTTTATTCCCAGCTACTAATATCAATTAAAAACACAGGATCCAAGATGTTCTCTCTCCTCCTGTGGATAACAGCTGCCAGGCCTTGCTGTTTGCCCTTGGCAGGGGCAGAGCCAGGCTTTTCTTCCTGTCCTGAATCTTGGCCATGGCCTCTCCCCTGTTTCTCTGGCTGGGAAGGAGTTGGGAATTGAACTGGCTTTGGGAAAGCCTGGCTGTGGCACTGAGTCCACACTCCTGCCTGGATGGCTGCAGAACCTCACTGAGAGCACATAGAGGCAGCAGCAGCAACAATCCTCCCCTTCCCTTCCCCACATGGCTCAGCTGCATGGGAGGTGGTTACATGCCACTAAGCTGTGGTGCAGAGCTCCAGAAAGCAGCCAGTAATCTAATTTATTAAGGGCTTTGAATCCTTACAAAGAGTATGTTGGATACATGCAAAGCATCTGCATTATTACAGTGATTAGGGCAGCAGAGATGGGGGAAAGGGGAAGGAGGGAAAATACAATTTCTCTGCTTTCAGCAGAAAATAAATCAACTTTTACAGAGAATTCTGGCAAAGGCTGGGCTGTCATTAAAAATGACTTTTTATTAAGCTGAACTCTCTTCTCTTATACTGTATGATATGACAGCTTTCTTTTGATGGGAAATCTTTCATTTGGCCAGAGAAAGGGATAATTTGCTTCTTTTAAGGAGTTAATCCTCTGGTCCATTTCCGGGCTGGGAACAGCTATCCTCCCCCTTCCTTGGATAGGAGGCTGCAGCACAATGGAGATCATAACCACCTCAAATCTACACCCGAGATGGAGAAATCAGATTTCCTTCTCCAGTCATTTTTGTGGGATTAGCTAAATCTTAGATCCACACTAACCCTTCACAAAGCTGCCAAGATTAGTTAGAATTTATTTTATTTGCAGGGGGGTTTACGGTTCTCTTTCCAAAGGGATTATATCTTTCTCTCTATATATATTTAGAGTGGCTTCAGTCATAAAGCAGCTAGGTCAGAGGGACGAAAAGAGTGTGTGTGTATAAAATAAAAACTCAACTGTGAGAATGACAGTCACTTGAAATGCCAAGACAAAGCAGTGGTTCTGCATGGCTTTGCCAGTCCATTTTAAAAGCCACATAAGCTGTCCTTTCTCTAGCAAAACCCTGCTAGGGAGCCAGTGCAAGGAGAGCAAAGCCCCTCGGCTGGGCTGCCTGTTTCCCCAGCCGCTGCTGCTGCTGGCACAGGATGTCTTCAGAGCCAGCGTCAGGTGCTGACCCCGGCAGGAGAGGCCTGAAGAAGCCACGTCCGTTCAGCATCGAGGACATCCTCTCCAGCCCTGCAAAGAAGAACCCCCAGCTCTTGGTGCCACTGTACCTACAGAACATGTTGGACTGCACACCCAAGCAGCTGTGTGAGCTGGAGACCATCCCAGCTAGCTCCCTGCAGGAGGAGGAGGAAGAAGAGGAGGAAGAACTGGAAGGGGCAGGCTGCAACTGCTGCTGCTGCTCTCACACGAGCGCCCGTTCCCTGCAGGACCTGCCGGGCTGGCTGGGTGAGTGTTGGGCTGGGTGAGTGTTTGGGTTTGATTTAGGTGTGGGGCTTGCAGAGGGGCTGGTGCAAGTGCTGTGGGCAGGGGAAAACTTGGGTGTTAAGTGACAATATGGCATCTGGCCATGGTGGTCTTGGGCCCCAGGCCCAAGCTGCTCTCAGCAGGGGCCCTAGAGTGGGCACTTTCACCTGCAATGTACGGGGTTTGAAAAGCAGAGGGTACTATTACCGGATATTACTGGTTTAGTGTGAAACTCTTGAGAGAATGATGCTTCTAGGGGTGCAAGCTCTCTGTGGAGTGCACACTGCCCATTTGCAGAGCTGTGCCTGCGCTTCCTGACAACACTAGCCCTGGAGAACCTCACTTACCCTTTAAGGAAAAGAGTTTTGGCTACTATAGCAAAATTACTGTGGGAAAAAGATGTAGCAAACCCTTAAAAATGCAGTTCAAGAGAATCCCGAAAATTCAGAATTCCCTTGTGTCAGGACTGAAACTCAGATCTTGGCTGGGCTGTGAGTTTGCAGTTATTTTCTGGAGCTGGCCATAGTGCAACTGGTAAGTGAAAGAAGTACTTACCACCTGCATCCTTGTCCCAGAGTCATGCCCTAAACTCTTCTCCTACTTGCATAGTCACCACCCAGCTTGCCACCCACTCCAGGTGACTGGCTGCCTCCTTCCAAACTGTAGCAGGGATGCAACTCGTGAGCATGACGAGTATTTCAGCCCCACACCTCTAACACTGCTGCTGTCCCTGTCCCCTCGCAGATGCCCGGTTCCCCTGGCCCATGCAGCTCTTCCACCCAGCAGTCAGGGTCTGTAGGAGTTCCCAGAAGTCAAGCGAGCTGCAGACCTTCCAGCAGATGCAGCGCCGCACACGCCGGCACCGCACCATATTCACCGAGGAGCAGCTGCAGGCCCTGGAGACGCTTTTCCACCAGAACCAGTACCCGGACGTCGTCACCCGTGAGCACCTGGCAAACCGCATTCACCTGAAGGAGGAGAGGGTAGAGGTGAGGTTCTGCCACTTGGTGAGGGGCTGCTGGCTGCAGTCCCCCAGGAACACAGACTGGGGCATTGTGCTGTCTTTTTTGGGGGGGCTGCAGATCCACGGCCTCATTTTAAAATCCATCCTTGTGCACTTGACAAAAGAGAGTTTAAGTTTGGCAAGCAGTGGAAGAATACAAACCATTTCAGCTGGGCTAATTTGTACTGGCATCCAGTCCCACAGACTCACACGATCCCTCCCTCCCAGAATCACCTGTCACACACAGACATGGCCAGCTCTGCTGCTCATCCCCTGCTCCCAAGTATGTATTCCTTGCCTGGGTGATCTGTGTGACTTCTGAATTTGTCATGGGGGGATTTCCAGCTCCCTTGTGCCCTTCTCATGTATCTGAGCAAGACTGCAGTGGAGGGACTGATTACATTTTGTGTCACACCTTCATATTACAGTATCTCATGGCCCACACGGTACAGCCCAGGAGGGTCACTGCCAGTCCCCCTCCCAGTAACATGTGACATGCAAAAGCCCTTTTCTTGTTTTGCACTTTCTAGGTTTGGTTTAAAAATCGTCGGGCGAAGTGGCGGCATCAGAAGAGGGTGACTGCCTCAGCACTGATCCTCCAGGCCAAGCAGCCCCCCAAGGAGAGCTGTTAGTGCTCACAGGCTGTAGAGGAACAGCAACAGCACCCACTGCCCATAGCTGACAGGCTCAGGGGGGTAACCCGAGGGGGCTAATGCAGCAAAAGGGAATCTCTGTGATTCACGCAGGAGGAGGATGGGTAAAAGCAGACATACCTCCTCCAAATCTAGTTCACGTGGCATATAACTTGGCAGGCAGGATGTGCAGGGGACAGAGCTGTACAGATGTTAAATGTGTGTGCTTTAAGAGAAGGGGAGACTCCCCCTTCTTGTCTTTGCTCTGTGCACATAGTATTTGTGCTTGTTTTATTGATGTAGATTGGCAAAATATCCTACAAATGAATGTTTCCTGTTTGCAGCACCTCAGTGGCATCTAGAGTCACTTTTGGGGTTGAACTTGCTGGACAAGCGATTTATTTAATAACAAAGAAACACGGTTTTCTCCCCATCGCCCTGGGGAGAGGTGATGACCCTACTGTGGTGAGAGGGTTGGCACAGGCACCTTCACCCTGCTGCCAGCTGGTCCGTGTCACAGCGAGCCGTGTCCGTGTTCCCGGCGGGGCCAAGGAGCGCCCACGAGCTGGAAAACAGCGACATCAATGAAACTGCCCTGTCACCCCCCGCCCGAGCAGCCAGCCGGGGGTCCCGCTCCCCGGGAAGCCCGGGGTGGTTGTGAATTGGTCTGAAGAGACGGTGGGAGTGTTGGGGGGATCCGCCCGGCGCCCATCCCGTGTCCCATCCCGTGTGTATCCCGGCTCCCACCCTGGCGCCCACCCCGGTTCCCATCCTGGCTCCCACCCCGGTTCCCACCCCGGCTCCCACGCCGGTTCCCATCCCGATTCCCACTCCGGTTCCCACCCCGGCTCCCACCCCGATTCCCACTCCGGTTCCCACCCCGGTTCCCATCCCGGCTCCCACCCCGGTTCCCATCCCGACCCTCGGTCGGTGCCGCCGCTGTCACGGCGCGGGTCCGGCCGGGTCCTCCGGACCGGCAGGGGGCGCACGCGGGCCCGCGCGCCTCCCGGGGCGGGGGCGGGCATTCCGATCCCCGCGGCGCGGCCGTGTGACGTCTCGGGCCGTGGCGTTCGCGGAGGAGGAAGCGGAGGGGAGCGGTTCTGACGCGATGGAGGCGATACCGGCACCCCCGGCCTCTCCCGCCGCACTGGTGCCGGCTACCTCCGCGGGGCCCGTCGCCGTGACGGGGAAGGAGGTGGTGTCGCCGGCCCCGAGGCACCCGAAGAAGATCCTGGATGAGGAGGCTTATATCGAGGTAAGGCGGCGAGCCTGGGCCTAGGCCCGGGAGGCTCCGCTCCGCCGGTGCTTGGGCCGAGCGCTTCCAGCGCGGCGGGGCTTGCCTGGGATCCGCCCGGCGGGGTCGGCCCGGGCCGCTGCCCGCTGTAACCCCGGCTGCGGCTCGAAGTAGCGCTGGGGCCGCCCCTCGGGCTCCCGCCCCGCCTGCGGCGGCAGCTGTCAGCGCTCTGCCATCGGCCCTGCGCCCGGGCCTGCCCTGCCTGCCCCTGCCTTTGCACTGCTGGCCCCGAGCTGAGCCGGCTCTCCGGGTGCCCCAGCGGAGCATTGCAGTTGTCTCTCTCTTTGTAGAGCTTAGAGAAAATCATCCAGCGAGACTTTTTTCCTGATGTGGAGAAGTTGCGAGCACAGAAGGACTATCTAGAGGCTGAGGAAAATGGCGACTTGGAGAAAATGAGACAAATTGCTATCAAGTTTGGCTCTTCCTTGAGCAAATCGTTGAGGGACACACCTGCACCCTGTAAGAACTGACTCTGTGGGGCATGAGGGGTTTGTATCTCATATTCCATCTCTGCTTTATCTAACTTGGTGCAGGCAATGCTTTTTTTAAAGATTCAAGGTTGATGTTGCATGACAGCTAAGTGTACCAGTTTCAGCAGTAGCCAGTGTCAGGTGCCTCATGCTGAATTTCTCTTCGATGGTATCTAATAACTTCTTGAGCGAAGGGTTTTGGAAAAAGCAGCCTTTTAATAACCATTCCTTATAGGCATCTTTTGCTAAGTTCTTGCTCCCTAGGGAATGTTATGTGCTCTCTACTATGAGAAATTCTAAGTTATATTTTGAATCCTTATTTTAGTTTGAGGCTTAAGGGGTTCTTGTTGCATCTGCAGATGCTTGAGATATTAGTGTACTGGGGATAGAAAGTGTGGGAAGCTTGTGGTTATCGGAGGTTCCTACAGCAGGTATCCTGTATTCTGCTTTATGTCTTCTTTCACTTCCAGTTCAGGTGTTTATTAAAGCCCAGCCTTTGCAGTGGGGTTTGGGTAAGGGGCTTATGACAAAGGGCACATGTTACCAGGTGGTGTCCCTTCCTCCCCTGTTGCAGGTGCTGGCCCTGGCCTGGACTCAGTTTGATCTGCTGCTGCTTTTGCTGGCAAAAGCAGGGTGTAGGGTGACAAATGTACTGGGCTGTGGTTCTCCTGGGATTTCTCCCAGCAGGAGAAAAATGTCTTAGACAGGGCCAAAGTCTTGTCTGAAGGTTGAAACAGAATTCAAAAGAACACTTTGGAGTTTTTTTCACAAGTTTTAACGTAATTGTTGTTCTCTTGATATGCCTTCTGTGGCTTGTTTGGTACATGATCCTTACAGCAAATCCTGTTGTGTGCTTCAGTAATCAAGTGAATCTTTTTTTTGGGAGCAGATGTTACCCCAGCCACATTTGAAACCCCAGAAGTGCATCCAGGTGGCCTTCCAGCGGGAAATAAATCTAAAGTTGGCATCAAGACTGCAGAAGAAGGTAAGAGAATTATGTTTCTTCAGCTGAATTCTTCCAAAAATAAATTGTCTGCCAGCAGCTGGCCACTTGTACACTTTGCCTTTAAAATAAATGGCTACAAATGCCTTAAAAGGGTTTATTGAAAGTTGGTTATATGTGGTCCAAACTTGATTTATTGTTGCACCACTCTGTATGGATCTGTTTCTTTGACCAAGCTTAGTGTTAGTTACTGGTGTGTCTGTGGAAGGCTTGCTGCCAGGAGGGTTAAGAGGTAGATACACTGCTCTTATAGAAAGGGAGGCATTAACCTTCCTCAGGCTTCTTCCCTTCTCTTGTCAGGAGAAGCAGAGAAAGATGACAAAGATGCTCTTCCCAGCCTGGACACCTTCTTGGCAAAGCACACGAGTGAAGATAATGCTTCCTTTGAGCAGATCATGGAAGTGGCCAAAGAGAAGGAGAAAGTCAAGCACGCCTGGCTGTATAGCGCAGAGGAGGAGTACACCCGGGTAGGGAATTGCCTCAGCTCTGTCTGTGCTCCTCCAGAGGGACACTGCAGGGAAATACCATTTCACTATGTTTCTGCTGTGGCTCACTTTCCTGGGTCTTGTGACTGCTCTTTACTTCATTGTGCATTCCTGGTTTTTCCCCATTCTGTCAACAGTCCTGACTTAGTTGTTAAGGCTTTGTCTCTTCTGTAAGCTTTGAGACTGCAAAACACTGCACAGAGTGCAGGTATTGCTGTCCTTGGCAGCCTCTTCTGTAAGAAGCAACACCAGGGAGAGCAGTTGAGCACAGTTCCTGTTGTTTGTCCATCATTATTTGCAGTTTGATTGTCTGTCTTATTTCAGTTTCTGTTATCAGTAATAACCCACTCAGCTGCATAAGCACAGAACTGCATGAGCGTGGCTGGCTGTGCTGCCTTCCTCAGCTACCTGCAGGGGAGGTCCAAGAGCTGTTCTGGGCCTGCCTTGTTGGTCTTTAACCATCAGCAGTGAGCAGCTGGCACAGATGTGTCGTTGATGGCTGTGGGATGCAGTGCCTTTTAATGAAGTTTGGCACTGACACGTGGGTGTTTGCTGCTGTTGTTTTGAGGGAGTATTATTTTTTTATCTCAGCTATCCCTCAGAGTCTGTTACATACTTTATACAAAGTTTTCTAGGGCAGGTGGTTGAGTTTGTGACCGAGCTCTCCAAGTTGTGTCTGCCTGAATAAAAGATTGCAGGAGGCTGCTTCAGACTCCTTTTTTTTCACCTTTTAAAATTTTTTTTCCATTGCCCTTTCAAGCGACAAAATGAAAACCTGGCACTTCCTTCAGCTGAGCAGCAAGCTCTGGAGAACGTGAAAGCTGGACTGGATACCTGGGAGTACACAGCTCGAAACACCCTCATGTATTATCCAACAGGTGAGGCACTGGTTCTTAGTGAGTTGGCTCCAAACAGTGCTTACAGCATTTCTCTATAGGACTGAGCAGCTCCTACAGGTAATGCTGTGCTTTTTCTTCTGTAAGGTTGTTTTTAAAAAGTGAGGTTTTTCCTTTTTTCCTTGGCCTCTGATTCTAAAGTTTGATCATGTTCTATTTGCCATTGAAAAGCTCACCTGTATTGTAAAAGTACTTGTTTTCAGCAACCAAAGCTCTTTCCTGGTCCACCTTCTTTATGAGCACTTGTCATCTTCATTCACTGTTTTCTTCTGCTCAAGAATCCTCCTTGGACTTGTTAGTCTGTTTATTGCTGTAGAAAAACATATATTTTTGTAAATGTAGTTTTCTTTTTTGGCTATAAATGTACAATTGCTAATTTCTCTGAACCAGTGAAGTAAAGAGCCTTTTTGTAAAAGCTGTTTGGCTTTTCAAGGTGTACCTGATGAGAGTGATGTCTTTAAGAAGCCCAGGGAAGTTGTGCATCGAAACACCCGTTTTGTGAAGGACCCTTTTAGCCAAGCTGTGAGCAAATCACAGCTCCAACAAGCTGCAGCCCTCAATGCTCAGGTTGGATAATTTTACTCAGATCTCGTTAGGCTTTGCCCTCTGGTGTGGTTCATCCCCCCAGAGAGCGCTGTGTGTGTGCTGGATACAGCTGACTCTCACCGTTCTCCATAAGAATGGCTTTTTCTTTTTTATTTCAGTACAAACAGGGCAAAGTGGGACCTGATGGGAAAGAACTGATACCCCAAGACTCTTCAAAAGTGAATGGGTATGGATTTGTGGCTACCCCCTCTCCAGCCCCAGGTAAGAGGGTTTTCTTACTTCTTCTGTCTTAAGAGGACTATTACTGCACTTACTTTGGTGCTCTGTTTAGCACTTGGGTGTCATTACAGGGTTAGATGAGGAGGTAAAACTTTATGCCATGTATGCCAGCTGGATTCAGGGCTTAAATCCTAGTCCAGTACACGGGTAGAAGTCACATTGCACAAGAGGCTCTGGGCAAGTTGCTGTGCCATTGCTCAGGAATCATCTAACTGTGGGATACTTTGTTAGAACAAACTGATTATTATTTTCAAGTTGAAAAGTTGTATCTGAATTTGTAGCTGTTCTGCACCAGCCATGCTGTTTCTCTGTGCTTTTTCTAGTTATGCCAACACCTGAACATAGTGAGGCTTTCCCTCTGCAAAACCTGTAGATGGCGTTTGGAGCACCTCCTTTTGCCATCATAAATGCCTTTTCCAAACCCTGGACAGTGGGATTTTCCAGCCTAATCGGGCACTTAAAATCCTCTCTACACCTGTTAGACAAGGTGCAGTCACTGTTTGGTACAGGCTGTCCCTGAGGTGATTGGAGGGTACATTTGGCTTTACATGTTTCTGTAAGTCCTCTGTCTCTTTTCTTATTTCAAAAGAATTTCCCATGTTGAAGGAGTTCTCATACAGCAGCCAAGGGGAGGACTAGTACTGTAGAGGGAAAAATGAAAGTGTCACTAATCAAAAGCTTAGCAAATGGAAAAATAAAGACATGGAAAGGGTGGTGCTAAAGAGGGAAAGGTTGTTGTAAATGAGAGGATGACACAGCTACAGGCAATCCCTTTTAATGGGAACCACGTGTTACTATCCACATTGGCTGTGATTTCCTCTGTAGTGGAGGGCCTCCTTTGTTGATGAATTTCCTGTGTTTCCTAACTTGCTTTTCTCTCTTTTTTGTGGTGAATGAGTAGTCAAATTAGTCAAACATCTTGCATAGACATAACTTGTTGGATTTGTTTTTAGGTGTGAATGAGTCGCCTTTTATGACATGGGGTGAAATTGAAAGCACCCCTTTGCGTCTGGAAGGGTCAGAAAGACCATATGTGGATAGAACACCTGGACCAGCTTTCAAGGTATTTCATATCAGCAAATCAGCATGAGATTCTTTTCTGGGGGGGAGAACTAAGAAGGGAAAGGCAAGTGAGTAAGTAATAGATTAACGTGGTGTGTGACACATCTCTGGGTGGTGTTCCCCATCCTTGAAACTAATAATCTAGTTTGTGCTTGGAGGGTGGAGGTAAGCATGGATCCACATGAAATCTTGGTGGAGCTACCTGAGGTGGCATACACACTGCTGGCAGGAGAATGAGATTCTGCATTTGGTGGTGGGCCCAGACAGAGGGGTTTTCAGAGGAAGCTGAAAACACAGCTCAAATTTTCTAGTTTTAATGTGTGAATAGGTAGAAATTATAGCATCTTCCTCTGTCTTTATCTTCTGGCTGTCGCAGCCTGAGGCAGGTGTATCAGTTGAGAGTAGAAAAGACACTCTGGCTTTGCTAATGGCACCTAACCCTGCATGCTACTTGTCTCCTGCTGGTGTCTTTGAATGTGAGCTGTCTGAGACTCTTAGTTTAAGAAAGGTGTAATTTGCTGTATGTGCTTCTGTTTTGTCAGACTCCAAAGGCTTTGACTGGTTCTCCTGCTGTTTAGCAATGTCTGTGTATGCCTGAGAGCTGGCTGGCTACAGGCCAGGCAAGACACAGGTGACATTGTTTGTCTAGGAGAAACAGCAGGAGGAAATGCCAGAGGTAATGGCTGCTTCCTTTACTGGACTGGTTTTACAATTTTTGCTACTTGCTAAGGGAGGTTGAAGGTCTCTGTGTCCTCTCTGGCTTTTATGCAGCAGCAGAGAGGTTCAGGCTGACCCCACTTCTCCCTGCTTTAGATCCCTGTACATTGGAATACAGCTTTGAAGGTGCTTTGACTCACTTTTTGCAGCACTCTTGAGTGCCTTGGTAAGTAAAATGTGTGATGCATTTATAGATCCTGGAGCCTGGGCGCCGTGAGAGATTAGGACTCAAGATGGCCAATGAAGTGGCAGCTAAAAACCGAGCAAAGAAGCAGGAGGCACTTCGAAAAGTGACAGAAAACTTGGCCAGGTGAGACTTCTGTTTTGACAGCAGAACTGGGGGGTGGGTATTATCTGATGAGATGTAAATCAGCATATGTAGAAAGGGAGAAATGACGGTAAGGAAGGACCCTGGAAGCAGGAGGAGGTACATTTGGACTGAAAGTTTTTAGAAATTAAAAATTTAGAAATTAAAAAAAAAAATTAATTCCTGAGGGAAGGTGGCTGGTGGCTCTCCCTGACACTCCTTGTCAGGATCAGTGCTCTGCCCTACAGCCACCCAGCAATGCCTCTGGATCAGTTTCTTGCTTGTTGCAAAGAGGAGACATGATAAGGGTTGCTTGGGGGGATCACAGGAAGAGCAGAATGGGCTCAAAGGAAAAGCCAGGAAGTGCCACTCAGGTTTTTCTGTCAGTTGTTTCTCTAGAAAGACAGGCTGCATTTACCTGCAGGCAGAATGACTTCTGCAGGCAGTGGGTCTGCTCTGTGGGGGGGAACTGATGTAGGGAGGCAATATTGCTTTTCCTGATAAAGGCAGATCTTTTTACTGTAAAATCTCTTAAAATTGTTTATTCTATTTCAGCCTTACTCCAAAAGGACTAAGCCCAGCAATGTCACCAGCTTTGCAAAGACTTGTAAACAGGACTGCAAGTAAATACACCGATAAAGCCCTGCGAGCCAGCTACACTCCTTCCCCAGCCCACACAGGAACTCCTGGTTACAAGACCCCAGCCAGTGGGCCTCAAACGCCCCAGAGCACCCCACAGTCTAGGACAGTATCTCAGACACCAGTATCTCAGGATACTACATCCATCACGGACAATTTACTGCAGCTTCCCAAAAGAAGAAAGGCATCTGATTTCTGCTGAACATTCCAATCACCACCAAGGTGATAGGGATCTGGCTGTGCTCAGTGAACTGCGGACTGGTTACTGGAAACTGGGAAAATGGCGATAATTTCTTAAAGATACATTTCTGTTTTTAAGAGAGGCATGCATTTAAGTTCGTTTCTGTACAGCTACGTCTGTTTCTTAAGTGGGGTAAGCCTTTCTAAAAGGCTAAACTGGACGTGGCTCCAGCTTGTCAAACTTCAGTTTGTAGTTTGCAGAAGAGGGCACTCAACCATGTGTATACTGAGGTGTGACACAGAATTTTAGAGAGGTTCTCTTTAACTTGAATTTAAACTGATGCAGTTCACAAATTTGGCTAACTCTGTGATGTTGTTAAAACTAGCGTTCCTTGAGAGGACCCCATTTCCTCCTTCACTCTTTACACTTTTCAGAATGGGTTTTGCCTTGCTGCTTTTGCTCAGGCTTTTCTTCTGCAGGTTTTGGGCTTCTTGGCCTATTCTGCAGCTGGCACAGGGAAGGGATCAGATTTGTTTTATAGCTGCTCTGTGTGTGACTCCATAGAGTTGCTGATCACGATGCAGGGACGAGACTGTCCTGTGTCAGCCACCAAGATGACAGTGCCATTCTGAAGGACAGAAGTGGTACCTCTGATAGCCACACTGGGGCTTTTGTTTGCTGTTGTCCTCCCATTCATTGAAAATTTTGGCTTTAGTCTTATAATTGGCCAAAAAAAGGAAAAGCAATTTTAGCCATACATAGCCTTCACTCAGTACTGTGGTTGCTGCATATGAGCTGACCTTTGTGTATGGGATGAGCCCCTGTGGTGTGATCCAGCCTGGAGAAGCACTGTGTACCCTTCTGGATTAAGCAGGTGTGGCCAGATGTGTTCACTTCTTGCAGCACACCTGAGTACAAGACACTACAGTTGGCAATATTGGCATTTGCTATAGTCAGGTGATGTTTTACTGAGGGAACATCCATGGAAAGTCCTGCCCAGCAGCTTGAATATCTGTGGCCTTCTCTAAGATGTGGGGTGTTGGGTGCTGTGTTTGTCTTGGTGGAGAGCTTCCTTTTGTGTGGTTTCCTCTGCCACTTCCAAAACTCGTGTCCCTGACTGTGAAAAACCCTTCCAAGGGACTCAGTTTTTATAGTGCACCTTGTAAAAATAAATTGATCAACGTGGCATAGCTAGGAATCATGACTCAAAATTTAGTAATTTTTACCTTTTTTTTACCTTGAAAGCTATGTTTTTTCTTTAAGCAAAAAAATTATTCTCAGGTACTCATGAATTAATGTAAAAGGACTGCATTTACTAAGCTTTTCATGCTTTAAGGACTGAACTGAGTAAATATGAATGAAGTTCTTATGTAATTTAAAGTACTAATTATTTATTTCATAGTGAAATGCTTGTCTCGATTAAGCATAGGAGACCTCTCCGTTAGGTACACGGGCAGATGGTCAGACCCTGGCCTGCAGTTTGGGTCACTGGGGAGACCAGGAGCAAGGAGTGGATGTGGGATTCCTGCCCATTTGTGGGTGCAGAAGCTCCTCTGAATGTGGGATGCAGAGAAAGGCTGAGCAGCATTCGAGGGACTGCAGATGGGGTGTACACATGGATCAGGAGTGGGATGTGACACCTCTCTGCCACAGCATTCGAAACTGACTGTGCTCATACCAAGGTGTAGCTGGAAAATAGGGGAATGTGATATCTGAGGGCGGTTAGTTCCACATTGTGCAATTCATGCTTAAAAGCTGACTGCATTAAATATCCTGTGGATGATGTTGGTTTTGTGTTTGCCCTCAAGTGAATTAACCTAGACAGCCACACTAAAATCACAGTCTTGATTCTGCCACACTGACGGGCCTTCACATGTTTTTGGAAATGGAACTTATTTTCAGTTACATGCTGTAAAACTGGATCTGTTGAAAGGGCTATAGTGCTCTTCAGATTGGCTGTTCCTGTAATGCCTGCTGTAATGTCTGTTCTCTGCTTCCTGCTGCAGTTCAACCCCTGCTATCTCTAATTAGTGAATCAGTAAATTCTTCACTGCCAGATATTTTTGCTGCTGTAGCAGTGGCAGATAATGTGCCTTACAGGGCCAAATCCAGTGTGAAAAAACATCTTGGTTTTTGATGACTGGTGATTTTCTTTCCCTTCGCATTTTCAGCAGATTATTTTTCTTTTGCTGTTGCAATATATCTGCATTTTCCTATGTGCAAGGCCCAAGCACACTTGCTCCCTCAGCCATAGCAGCACCTGGAGCTCTCCTGATGCTGCAGAGGTGGCTGGCAGTGAGCAGTGGTGGCCCCAGGCCTCTCCTGGGTGGCCAGGCTGGCTCTGGTGTGTTACTGGATGCTTGGGAGCCACGGTGGACCTATGTCCACATGGTGTGAACGCCATCACATCCAGAGGTTGTGGGGGCTTGTTATGTGCAGCCTGGACCTTGACTCCTCAGCCCAGGCAGGAAGGAAAATGGGAAACCACGGGAGATTCTTGTTCTTTTAAGTCTAATCAAGCTGGTTCTCTGAGCCCTTCACCTTCAGGGCCAGGAGCCTCTCCCTGGCCCTGGGGGTAACCATCTCTGCTGTGGTGCAGGGTCTGCAGCTTTTCACCCATCCAAAAGCAGGTTCCAGTAAAGGAACTGGTTATTTAGGTCAAAAGGGAAGCTGTGGTTGGAGTTACTTCGTTGTTTTGGAGGATTGGGCTATTTCTCTGCAAAAATAAAGGAAATGGGTCTACTTTCTTCAGGGGAGAGGGAAATGGAGCAATTCTCACTTCCTCATATTTGCATGTCTTGCCTCAATCCCAGCTTAAGGCTGCTGGCCTAACAGCAGCTGGCTCCAAGCCCCAGCTCAGGGTCAGGCCAGGGCCAGAGATGGGTTCAGCCACGCTCACCACGAGCCCCTTCCCCCCACTTCTCCTGGCCCCAGCAGCTGACATGGCACAATCTGGGGCAATGGGTGCCTCTCACCCTTCACTTTGGTGCTGCTGGGCTGTTCATTGCCCCTTTGCTCAGGAGTGCTGAGGGGCTGCCGGGCACACAGGTGTGCTTCAGACCCCCCTCTCTTGAGCTGGGGGTGCTGCAGGACGTGGCATGGGGCAAACGAGGCCTGCCTCGCCTTGTGCCAAAAGCCACGGATAAGCAGCCTGTGTGCCCTGCTCTTGCAGTGGAGGTATCATAGGATATTTATTTATGCATCACCCTGTATGGTGTAATGCCCAGGCCCTGGGGTGGATAAGGATACCCTGGATCAGTCTGGGGTTGGCCTATGAGGCTGTGCTGCAGGAAGCCAGGCTTGGAACAGTCTGTCCCCACAGTATCCCATGGGAGGAGCAAAGCTGGGGAGTTTAATGCTCACTCTTTGTGCTGGAGGATGTTGTCATATTTCAGGTCCCCACAGGCTCTTGGATCGTGACAGTATTTGGCAGCACATGAGAGCTGGGAAAGTGGGTTTTGGCCTAAATCTTCAGGCAGTGCCCTGCTGCTTGTGACACACTCCAGCGGGTCCCCAAGCACATTCCTGGCCACCCAGTGCTCCTGAGGCCCCCAGGGCTCACAGCTCCAAGCTCACACTTGCTGCAACCCCAGCTCCAGGGAGCTCTTGGTAGGCACCAATTTGCCCTCCCATGTTAAACTGCACGTTTAGGTTTGGAAGAAGCACCTCCCTGGAGCCACTGACCTGAGCAGTGCAACAGCTCCTGGGGGGACAGAGGCAGTGAGTGCTCAGGAAATCCTGCAGAAGCCCTGATCCCTGCCTGCAGGCAGCTGACCTGTGGGGCAGTCAGTGACTGACGGGGAGCAGGAGCCATGAGAGAGCAGAAGTAACTGCACATCCATCAGGAAACCCCTTGAGAAAAGTTTGCAGCTGGGTATACTGAGTAATTGGTATTAACTGGGAAACAGTGGGTAAAATCAGGTCAAAATGGTCCTTACTGGCATTGCAATGTTTTATTTGAGAACTACAAGTTGTAGCAAAAGAGTACAAAACAACTCACTGTAAATATTAAAAATATATAAACATTTCCAAGGCACCTTCCCAGGTTTTGACTTTGACTAGGTTGTACTAAAAAGCTGGAATTCCCTGCAGAGGAAAGTGACAGCTCTCTGCTGACCGTGGGTCAGCCATTGTGTCCGGCCCCTGGCTGAGCCCATGTCCTGGTGCTGCCCAAACACCCCCTTGTGAGTGAGAACTCCAGAAGAATTTGGGAAGTGAGTGTTTATGCTAAAACTGCCTTTTGATCCCAAACGCTACCCGGGTTGACCTCCATCCAGCACCAGGAGAGTTGTGGCACTGGGCCGCTGTCTCCAGCCACCACCCTGCCCAGCTGACAGTGCAGCAACACCCAGGGTCAAATTCCAACAAGCACCTGTCACTTGCAGGGCCACTAACAATAATTAGTGTTCTTTATGCATTTCCTCTCTGTCTGGGCCTGGGAACTGGGAACACAGCGTTTCCAGGAGCTATGGAAACACCTGGCTGGCTCTGGCACTGCGGGGTGCTGGCTGTGGGAATGTCCCAGCCCCAGGTGCTGCTTGTCTGTGTGCCAACCTACAGACATGAGAACGTGGACTGTCTCATCCTGCTACGGCCCAGAGTAGTGAAGAAGCAAAAGATGGGAGATGGTTGGGGCTGGGAAAGTCCAGAGCTTTGTGCCTCTGCTGCAGGATAGGCAAGGTGGTGGCACTGGGAAGTCCCGGCAGAGGCAGGGAAAGGCAGTCTCAGCAGAGATGGAGGGGACCTGGAAAGGCTGTCCCGGGGTACAGAGGAAGCCGATTGGATCTGTCCCAGCGGGAATGGGAAAGGCTGTCAGGGAGTGATGGATGTCAGCAGGAAAGGACACTCAGCTGGGGACAGGGAAATGCTGCTCTGGGCGAAGAGGGGACCGGTAGAGGCTGTCCTAGGGAGGTGGAGCGAACTGAGCAAGACTATCCTGTGGGGAATGGGGCTTCCACTCTGGTGAGGACAGAGGGGGCTGACAGAAGCCGTCCTGGGGGCTGTGGTGGCCATCACTGGCCATCCCGCGGGGGGCCAAGGGGCCGCTGTGGGGTCCCCGGGAGCGCGAGGCCTCCCCGCCACCGCCCCCTGCCGGCGGCCCCGGCCCCGCCCACCGCCGTGAGTAGGCGGGGCGTGCGCTGATCCTGGCGCTCGGCCCCGCCCCCCGAGTGCCGATTGGGCGGACGGTGCGCGGCGGGAGGGGGCGTGGCGGCGCGGGCACGGCGGCGGGGAGGCGCGGCCGCCATCTTGTGCGCCGGCGGAGCCCTGCGAGCCGCCCCAGCGCGGCCGCCCGACCCGCGCCGCTCCCGCCGCTCCCGCCGCAGCCAGGGCCGCCGGCTCCGCCCGGGGCGGCGGCGAACGGCGGAGGGAGGGCAAGGGAAAAGCTCGGTGCGGACCGGGGCCCCCCGCGGGCCCGGCGGCGGCCCCTCCTCCCGCCGCTCCGCGCGTCCCTCCCCGCGGGTTTGTGGCGCTGTGCCGGGGGAGGATGAACGGAGGATAAATGGTGCCCAAGGCGGACAGCGGCACCTTCCTCCTCCTCTTCCTCCTGGTGCTGAGCATCACCGAGCCGCTGCGGCCAGGTAGGGGTGGCGGCGGGGCCGGGGGTGCCGGGCCCGGGCGGCCCAGGGTGAGCCCCCGGGGTCGCCGGGGACAGCCCGGCTCGGGGGGCGGAGTGGCCGGAGCCGGCCCCTCCGGGGAGCTTTGGGCTTTGCTGCTGCTTTGTGTGTTTAAACGGAGCCGGGACGCGGCCGAGCATCGGTCCCCTGTGCCGGCTGCCTGGATCCAAGAGAGCCTGGATTTACCCTGGGAGTCCGGGTAAAACGTTCGTGTCAAAGTGTGAAAGCTTGTGTAGAAGTCTACATAACCCTGCTGGTAATGAGCGCAGAAAATGTGGTGACTAAGTTTTCAGGTGCTTGTTACTTGCCTGCTTTTATGTTGTGGGCCTTGGATGCCTACATGGCCAGGCAAAATGCTTACTTTCGAAGTGCCATTTAATCTTGCCAGAAAGAGGAAAAAAAACCCTGCACCTGGTTCGTCTTTCTGGCTCTGTTTGTGCTTCTTTTAGGGAAATAATTTAGCGATGAAGTTTGTGTGCTAGCTGCTAGGCATGGTGCTTAAAATCTTAAGATGATTAACTTAGGAGAAATGGTTGGTGTTTGCGGGTAGAAAACTACAGTTTTTCTAGGTATATCGCTCAGCTGGGGTTTCTTTTTGGGTGTTGAACTCTCTTGGAGCTTGGCAAAGCCCTCGGGTATCATGGGCAGCTCTTGCCAAAGCGTGAGGCTGCCTGGGGTGGCTTTGCAGGTTTGGAAATCGCCCTTCCATCGCACCAAGCGACTGTTCCTGGGTGATATGTGCTCCTAGTAAATAGGAGACTAAGAACCATGGTGTGCTCTGAAACCCCCTTGCTCTTTCTCTTCAAAATAAATTTTATGACCCAGACTAATAAAATATAACAGTATTAATGAACTGAACAGTATTAATGAGCTCAGTCTAAGTGAGTTCCCGGCAGAGCTGAAAAACAATTGGGTCAGTGTAGGCAGAGTTATTGAAATAACTAACTTGGGTGTTGAAACGTCTCTGTGTCTGCCTTGTTTTGTTTTAGCTTGTTTTTTTGGCAGTGCAGTGTATATACAGGGTTTATGATATGCACTTAAGTAGCCAAAAAAACCCCGTTGTGTTGGTAGCCTAGTATTATTGCAGCTAGAGGCTTTTATGGCTGAGAAGGTACTATGTAAAACTGATTTCAAGCAGCTCCCTTTTGCTGGCACAAAGTACCACAAGCTGCTGGATTGCTGGGTGTAAAGGTTCAGCTTATTCAGAGCTGTCTCTGCTTTTACAGGTGGGTAGGCCTGACCCTGAACTCTGTTGGTGTTAAGCATTGTTGCCTCCGAGAAATTCAAAAATGGCATTTTTCATATTGTGTCACATTTGTCACTCCAGTTTGATATTGTACCTCTGTCAGCAACTGATGCTTGATGGATGAGCACAAGTTTTTCACTTGGATTTACTTTGTTAAGATGAATTATATTTTTCCACTGGTGCTCTAATGTACCTGCTTTAGAAATTGGCGGTGCTGTAGCCTTGCTGGCAGAAGTGTCCTTGTGAGCAAACCTTAACTCATCTGCTCTGGTTCTACACCACTGGCTTTGAAACTTGTAGTTTTAGAATTCCCCTGTGGCAACTCCATAAGCATTCCATGAATTTTGCTCAAACCATATGTATTCCTGAACCTAAGGTGAAGTACTGCAACTGGATATGGTGCTGCAGCTGGAATTCCTTGCTGTATGAGGAGTTCCTGAGTTCCATTTGGAATATACTCATCCATCCTGTTTACGTGGTTGAGCTGTCCATGGTGATGCCTCTCCCTCCTCCTCAGAGGAGAGCCCATCTCTTCTGGGTGGCATCACAGCTCTTTACCGATGTCGTCTGGATTTTTTTGGTGTGCTTCATTTAGTATCTTGAATCTGCTGTCTCAAACAAATCACCCATTTGATATAATAATATCATTTGATATAATAGCACACAGTTTTATCCTGAAGCATGAAGTGCAAGTTGGGAAAACCTTGCTCATGCAAGTACAGAGGAAATACAGAACCAAATTTACCACTTTAATCAGTGTTGAAGAAGTCTGCCATGCCATCTCTGGGGAGAGAGCAGAAAAAGAGGAGTACTTGAACTTAGAATTTATTTTCCAGGTGATATTTGCTTTACTTTTACTTCTTTAATCCTGGGTGTTGTGGCAACTTTCTTTTTGGTTTAGGAAGGATGCCTGCAGCTTGCTTAGCTTAAATCTGCACTTGGAACTATCAGATGAGTGCTGCAGAGCGCTGGGAGTTCTTATGTACTTGGAGATGAATGTGTAGTCCCTTCACAATTCAGTCCCGGCAGATCAGGCATCTCTTTGTATTTCCATGTTAATTTGACACTAGCTTTGTATCCATGTTCTTGCTGTGCTCTTCAGAAAAATAAAACCTTTTAAGCCTCATCAACTGTAGTATCTTTTCATGCAATCTGAAAGGCAGTGATTTTACATGGGCCTATTTTTTTTCCTGCATTTAGGGTGAGGTGGGCTTTAGTAAATTAGGGAGAAATTAATTAAAATTTCTTTATTTTTCCTCTGTTTTTTTCTTTCTCTTGGTTACATGAGTCTGTTTTTGTGCTATTGCCATCACTAACAGCACAAGGTACTTTCAACATACCATGACATTGGCCCCAGCTGTGCAGACTTGGATTCCTGAAGGTGCTGTGGGCAGCTGGATTTTCTGAGCCTGTGGACTTGTAATGGTAATTTTGAACCTTTGAGATTTCCACTTGGATTTGTTTTTTTTTTGTCCCAGTGTTTCCATCTTTCCCGTTCTGTTTTGACCATATCCTTTGTGTTTTGCCTAGTTGTCTGCTTTATAGCACATTTTTGAAAGTGTTCCTTTTTTCCAAAGTAGGGCATTTCTCCTTGAGTTATGTTACTCATTGTTTTTGGAATATGCTAGTGTGAATTGAAGCTGAATGTATCAAACTCTTCCAACTATATGGGTGTAGAGTGAAGGACCAACTTAATATTTTCTTTAAACACTTGCTGATTTTACTCTGTCTGTTGGGGGATATCTTTTTGGGGATATTTACCACAGTAGGCTTTAATTTAATAAAATCTTTTCCAGGACAACTCAAACCCATCTGCTTCAGGTTATCTGACTAGTTGGCTGAGAGAACGCATGTCTTTGTGTGAGGAAATATTTCAGTGGTGTGTTAACTGAGTTGCAATAAGCTGTTCTGGTGCTAGCTTAGCTTTTTCCCCCAAGTTTCTGAACCAGTGCATTTCTGTCAATTGTTGGAAGAGCATCAGAGATGTAAATTGTTATGAATTCAGTTTTTCACAGTTTGAGAATATTTAGGAAGTTTCTTTTTCTGTTAACAACCCAACGCATACCGCTGAGAAGCGGAGGTTTTGGTGTCTTTGTGTCGTGTTGGGAGCTTAAGCAGTCTGGAATGACCAGGCTGACATGTTTCAGAATAGTGTTTAGAGGATTAATTAAGATCATCATCACTAAAGACAATAACATGTTTTCATATTTCTCTAACAAGGTACTGCTGCTTGCTAATGGAGAACACTTAAACATGGTCAGGCTTTATATTGGATTTTGTAATAATGGTTTAGTACAGAGCCTTGTGAATGTAGGTCATTGGGCTTTCTTATTAGAGCATTTGCCAGGCAGCTAAAAGCCAATTGAGTTCTTGTTCTTGCAGCGTTTTTTCTCCACTTCAAAGCCAGCTAGAGGAAGTAATTTTATTACCCAAGTTCTGTTTCAAAAAAATATTGCACAATGTACTTAATCTGCAATGCTTAGAAAGACTTGCCAGTGCAAGTGGTCTGGTTAAAACCCCACACTCCAGCTCACAGTTGGAACTTCCCATATGCTTTGGAGCTTGCTGGCAGCTGCGGTTATGCTCTTACAGGTGGGATGTTGGTGTTTTGACATGATACAACTGACAAGTGTGTTCAGATTGCTAACTTTTTCTTGTCTTTTAGTCAAGAGGTGTTTGCCTTACGTGCAAGGCAGAACTCAGCAGAGTAGAGGTATAAGCAAACTCATGATCAGCCTAGTTTCAAGGTGATCCACTGGTGTGCTGTGACTGGATGGGTCTGGTTTTGTCCAGTTGAAGTGTATTGATTAATTCAAATTTTGGAGACCCAAATTTATTGGTCATAAAATTTGCTCTGGCCAGTGTTCCTCTGCTCCGGAGAGACTTTGTTTGTAGGCAAATACAAACCCTTATTTTGCTCTTTGTTCACTGCCTCCACGTTAGTGAGAGCTGTGGTGAATTATATTTATTCAGGTTCATGTTGTTGCTAGCTGCAGTTCCTGTCTGTGTATTTAGGTGAATTCCTAAGTGGAAAGTTCTAGGAGTGAGGGGTAGAAGGGTTTTTATTACACCTCCTCTGTTAATTTTGCTGAAAGTAGGTCTTGTCCTGTCTTTTAGTCCGGTGTTTTTCCTCCTCATCCCTTTGCTTCTTAATCTACTGGTTTTAAGTTTTATTTTTCTTCCTAGTGTCACCTATTAATGAGTTCTTGAACTGATGTTTCTTGCTCTGCTGGTTGCTGTTTTTGCAGCTGCAGAGCGAGGATGATGGATACGAAAAAGCTTTTTTGTGGCTGGTCTCAGTGTAGCAGAGACAAAGCAGAAGGTATCAGACCTTATTAGCGGGTCTGATACTTTAAGACTGGTAATTTCTGATGTCAATTATAAAGCAAAATTTTTGAGGCGCAAGTGGATTTGCTGCTACCTTTGGCTACAAAGTAAAGCAGGAAAAAGGAGTCAGTAGTGCTGTTTGCATTGCTTTGGCTCTGAGAAGTAATAAACCAGAGGGGTGCCTTGGGGGTTTGCAAACACATGACTTCTATGCCCCTGCAGTAGGTTTGAGGGCAGGAGAAGGTTGGTCCAAAACAGCAGAAGTGATGGAGAACAGAGCAGTGCCGCAGCCTCTCTCTGCAGCAGGAGGAGACAGCTGTGCTTCTTTCTTGGTATTTGAGGGGAAAGCACAGCTAGACTGAAGAGTGAGGAATTTTAGATACTAAGTATG